GCTCGGGAGGAGGGGTGGGGAAACAAGATTCATTGTTATATGGCTATTGTTTATATTGTTATATGTTTATATTGTTATATGGCTATTGTTTATATTGTTATATGGCTATTGTTTATATTGTTATATGTTTGTATTGTTATATGGCTATTGTATATATTGTTATATGGTTATTGTTATATGGCTATTGCTTAGCTTCGGAAATGTGAACGCGGTACCATAAATCCAGCAGCACATCGGTTTATTTAGTGTTATATATATTTTTTTAAATCGGTCTCTTAAAGAGCAGACATTTCAAACATGCCATAGCAACCCTATGTTCAAATGAAACAGGTACGCACGCCTACGGTGCATATTATATTTAACCCACTGTGGAAAGAAGTTACAATTTCCATTCCTGATAATCTTGAGGTGCTAAATTTAACTTCCCCGGTCAGACCGTTAACCACACCGGCAGTGTGAGGACTGCGGCTCTGCTGAGAAGATTGTCTGGCACAACGCGTTTCTTTTACACTCAGCGGACAATGGCACTAACCATGACTTGTTAGCAATAATGAAAAGCCACATTATGTAACCACAATGTATCATCCATAGTGGAGTGGAGCGACGGACAGTAATTCACGCATTGCAATGGTAACACTATTAGATGTAACTCATAGCACAAACATCCGTGAATGTATATATATTCAGATTTTACACATAGCATGTGACAATAGCTGGTACTGCATTCACCTAATAGAGATATTTTGGAATTATTAACGGGAGCATTTTTTCCCTTCCCCACACGATGTCTGGTTGTGCACGGTAGGCTACGTACGGTGCAAAAGAACTTCAACATACAATCATGGTTATTATTCAGGTTGCACGCTAACAAATTATACCATAGCAGTGCAATTGCTTCTTAGTACTCTGTCGAGACAAAACAAATGTGCAAAGCCAAACAGGGATCTGACAACATAATGGAAACGTGCAGCTGATGCAGTGGGCTGTGGTCTCCTTGCACACTTTCGCAATTCACAAAACTGCCATTTTTAGACTTAACCAAAAGTGCTTTTTTTTACTAACCTTTAAAAGTTATTTTATTAATTTGGTTTTGGTTTCACGAACACATGCGCGTGTTTGACACCGCGCTAAGGTGCCGATATACAGGGTGCATTCACAACCCACTGGAAGCATTGCCCACGACGACACCTTTGAAGTTGCTTCACTCGCTCTTCTGTTTGAAAACTGGCAAAGCATTATTCACCAAATCTGCGTTTTGATATATAATGTATAGTCCTGTATTTTACATTTCATCTCAAGGATACATACATTATTGCAATATTGCATGTACGCAATAATGCCTATGAAGTGAAATAGCCTTGTCGGTAATTTGTGAAATAAATAAAAATTGTCACATAAACATACGCTGTACAATAATTGCAAATGTCCCCTCAAGAATGCGTTAGCAGTACGGGATTTAACTACCTAGCGATTGTGTGGTAAAAGCAAATTGAAGTGCATAAACCTTTATGATAATTAGTTTGAAAGCACGACAGGTGCTTAACTTTGGCATTAATTACTTTTACATTTATTATACATAATCTGCAAAGGTGTAATTTTAACAAGATTCTTTATCACATTGTTCTAACGTACGACTATATATATAGTACTGCCTTATCCGTTAACTAGAAAAACAATATGCACATCAATTGCATAAGCGCTGGTGTGTTGCACAATTGTAAATGTTGAATTTGATTTAATTTGGCATTACAGAGTACAGCTTTGTACAATCATCCAGGGCAAGAGCCGACTGGCACTGTAAAACCAGACGGGGCTTCCCTTCAATCCATCAGACTCCATGTATCCACACAGTTCCACTAGGTGGCAGTCTCAGCAAGGTGCGCCAACCAATGCCATTGGCGTGGTACCTACCAGAGCAAAGCTTTTAAACAGTTTCAAATGCTAGCACAGAGAAGGAGGCATTGGCGACCAATATTATCCATGAGAGAGGTTTGTTTTGCGGGGGGGGGAGGGGGGCTATATCACGTAAATATGAACGTGTCGTTAAACCCGCCGCCACCCAACGCAGCCAATTAGTAAGAAGGGTTTGTCACGAACAAACGTGCAATTCGTTACGAGTGAATTGACACATGGCAGAACATTATATATTGTTTTTATCCGTCAGCATTTACAATCGATATACTCTCAAATTTAGGCACATTTGATAAGATCCGGTATGATTGTAAGCAATGCATTTCCTAAAACTAAACTATAAACACAGTTTAGTTTTTATGTTATAAAAAAGGGTTTAGTTTTCTGTGGTTCAGTACCAATGGTTGTCACAATCACGTTGTCATCAGCACATCTGAGATGATTAATATTTTCTTCTTATCAAAAGAAAAGTCAAGCACAATTTTGCCGAAACATTGAAATATATTTGTTGGAGTGACGCAACTGTAAAAAAAACACCTCCGACTAGTGCAGCTATTGAAAGTGAATAAGGATTAACATTGTGAATAAAGAGGCAAATGAAAGCATGCTCAAGTGGTGTTTGAAAATTGAATTTAACCATGAAAATAAATGACCAACATGCCGAAAAAATGAATAATAAAGGTTTTTTGGGTTAGATCGCGTTACTTATAAATGTGTTACAACCCTCCACCACCCGACACGGCCAATCAGTAAAACATGTATCACGTTGATAAAAGACAAATAGTTCACTACTCTAGCCCACCGGTGTGTTGAAGAGTGAATCCACAACATGTACACCTTATTTTTTTTAAAATTATCATCCGTGTATATCATTGCTTATGACACGGATCACAAACATGGAACACCGACATTGAAAGCAGAAATGTGCAAATAAGAAAGGAGACGTTGAGAAACAGAGACGGGAAGAGGAAGACACGGATTGGGGAACACATGCACAAGTGAAGAAACCCACAGGGACTGTTGAGAACCTTGGTTAAGGTAGGGGTGGCTCCCACTGTTCGAGTAGTCAGAATCTAGACTGCAGGAAGAGGAATCCGATGACCCATGAAGCTCTTTTATAAAGCTGTCCAGTATGGGGCACGGGGTCAGAACGTTACAACAATACAAAAATACGATAGGAGTGCAAAGTATAGTGAAGGTAAAAAAAATCACTTACAAAATATATATATACAAATAAAACTGTCCAGTATGGGCAGGGTTAGCAAATTACAACACAATGCCAAAAAGAAAAATGTAAACAAGTCACTAAGTGAAAATAAATAAATCTTGACTTAAAGCTTTCGTGACTGCAGGAATTCATATTCTTTGGGTCTTTCGGTAAAGTCACGAAGATAGGGTCAAATTAAGAAAATAAACAAAAAACTACGACGTTTCGATCACAACACAATCGATCGTCATCAGGAGGAGAGGGGGAAATCTGCTGAAGGCAGGCTGTTTTTAAGTGAAGGCAAGCTGTTTTTAAGTTAAAGCAGGCTGTTTTTAAGTGAAGGCAGGCTGTTTTTAAGTGAAGGCAAGTTGTTTTTAAGTGAAGGCAAGTTGTTTTAAGTGAAGGCAGGCTGTTTTTAAGTTGAAGGCAAGTTGTTTTTAAGTGAAGGCAAGTTGTTTTTAAGTGAAGGCATGCTGTTTTTAAGTGAAGGCAGGCTGTTTTAAGTGAAGGCAAGTTGTTTTTAAGTGAAGGCAAGTTGTTTTTAAGTGAAGGCAAGTTGTTTTTAAGTGAAGGCATGCTGTTTTTAAGTGAAGGCAGGCTGTTTTAAGTGAAGGCAAGTTGTTTTTAAGTGAAGGCAAGTTGTTTTTAAGTGAAGGCAGGCTGTTTTTAAGTGAAGGCAAGTTGTTTTAAGTGAAGGCAAGTTGTTTTTAAGTGAAGGCAAGTTGTTTTTAAGTGAAGGCAGGCTGTTTTTAAGTGAAGGCAGGCTGTTTTTAAGTGAAGGCAAGCTGTTTTTAAGTGAAGGCAGGCTGTTTTTAAGTGAAGGCAGGCTGTTTTTAAGTGAAGGCAAGTTGTTTTTAAGTGAAGGCAGGCTGTTTTTAAGTGATGGCAGGCTGTTTTAAGTGATGGCAGGCTGTTTTAAGCGAAGCCAAGTTGTTTTTAAGTGAAGGCAGGCTGTTTTTAAGTGATGGCAAGCTGTTTTTAAGTGAAGGCAGGCTGTTTTTAAGTAAAGGCAAGCTGTTTTAAGTGAAGGCAGGCTGTTTTTAAGTGAAGGCAGGCTGTTTTTAAGTGATGGCAAGTTGTTTTTAAGTGAAGGCAAGCTGTTTTTAAGTGAAGGCAAGCTGTTTTTAAGTGATGGCAGGCTGTCTTAAGTGATGACAGGCTGTTTTTAAAGGTTTAAACTTTTTAAAAACAGCCTGCATTAACTTCAAAGGTTTGACGGTCGCTTGTGTTGCTATAGAAACGTCGTAGTTTTTTGTTTATTTTATTTGTATTAATTTGAACCTATCTACGTGACTTTACCGAAAGACCCAAATAATATGAAAATAAATAAAATAACTTACATTCATCAAGCTTGGGCCGAGGCAGTAAAAACAACATGAAACAGACCGAGAGCACACGAAGAGAACACCCAGGCAGTGGTAGTCCCTCAGTAATCTTGGGAGTGGCAGGCGTAGGGGAAACGTGCCCGAGTCTGTGTCCAGGCGGAGATGGAGCGAATTAAACCAAGACGCGTGTAGGAAGCCCGATGATGGATCGTTGCATCGCCAGACGTAACAATCCTTTAACTTCAATTAAATCACTTTCATGCGACGATTTGTGTTTGTTATTGCTGTTCCGTGCAGAACCATTGGTGACCAGGCTGAGGCCATCAATTCGCGAATCTTGAGAACCCTGTTCAGAGAATCTCTTATCGAGCGCTCTCCAGTGGAGGCTCATCCAACGGCATCGGGGTAAGAAAACAAAATGCAGGACTGGGCCTTTGACCCCTGCGTCACCTTTACATTCAACTACAACTACACATGCTTGCATTGACGTGCAATATGTCGAAACAAATACGTCTGTTTAGGAATTTATTGAGGAAAGGAAGACTCGAACGTGGACATTTTGTTGAAATAAACATAATTTATTGTAACTTTAATGTGACATCAATTGAGCGTTGGTGATAGAACCTTTTTACAAAATAGGTCATATTACAGCATACTATTATACACACACACAGCTTCATGAAGATAATATTTAGTTGGTATATTTTTGTATGCAGGAATACTGTATGAAGCATAGTTGGTATTTACGGTTTGAGCTGCAAAAGCAAAGTGGCATTTGCAGGATAAATAGCAAAGCACCAGAAGTGGAAAGGTGATCTGATAACACCTGGACATGTACCACCATTAAATATTGAAATGGACAACTTACCAAGTGCCTACTCTTCTCTATGCAAATGAATTAATTAACACTAAATACTAGTAGCCACCACTTGCCAATAGCCTTACACAGTGGTGGAGCACAGGTTAGCTTTAAGAACAGGTATTTTGTGAATGACACAACTTACGAGCAATAATGATGGGAACTTTTACCGCCATGCCATAATTGTGGATTAATTCATTGTTCCCGTGGCCATCATCATCATCAACAAAAATCAAGTACTGTTAAATCTACATTCTCTTTCAAATTAAGTAGAGTGCATTTCCTGGCAATCGTCATTGCACCATATTCAGGATTTCAATCACAGTTTACGGTACGTGGTTTTCTGTTGCAGGCCAGCATTGTTACCGTGACCAGATTACCCAGTTGTATAAGACTCAAAGTTAACACAGTCTTTCGCGACCAATATGTTGCGGGTTTACTCTCCAACACACAAGCGGTGTGCTGCACTATTCACGAATTGGAACGTTTTGTTTACGTGACAAACTTTACTAATTGGCTGTGTCGGGTAGTGGCGGGTTCAATGACATTTATATTTACGCGATCCAACCCAACATAAACCTCTATTATGCATTTTGTATAAAACTGCATATGCAAAATAATTGTGATTCGTTTAACTGTAATTCATTGTTTATTTGCTCGGGAGGCCTAATAAATATACGGTATTAATCTAGAGTTATATTGATTAAGCATATAATAAATGCTAATTTCATACCGTATTGTGTTTGGATTGACTGCAGCACACAACGGCGCTATAGTGATATCACAGTGCGTGTGTATATACCGTCCTGTCAGCTTTACAGCACACGGTGCTTTGGTATTTTACCTATAGATCTAATTTGGCAATGCTAGGAGCTTTATACATTAATTGTCTAGCAAGCAGACTTTTTAACTATATCACATATATATTTTTTTATTTTTCAGTGCTCACGTGTGCTATCTCTTCATCGATTTAAATACGTTATAGTAATCATACACACTTGAAAATAACTGTTATGTTCGTAACAGTAATGCATTGCAATAGCTTCTGGGAGAGACTTCCTGAAACATGTTTATAAGAGTGCATGCGCCCAGACTAGATATTTCCCTTGTAAGTACCGCAACAGGTGGCATAACTTGAAGAGGTTTCAATTTATATGTGGCCAACAACAGAGAATGTGAAAACCACTCGAAATTAGTTGGGGTAAAATCAAAAATAAACTCTCATTAGCCTTATGAATAGATCGGTACAACAGAAGTGCTACCTTCAGGTGCTGCCAATTTATAATCTGGCCCATGGACTATAAGTAGCAGTGGCCTAATGTTTGAAGAGTACAGTATCTTCAATCTGAGAAGAAGTTACGTGCCGATTTTTCAAACAGTCCTGTATGATGCATTTCTAGCGAGCAATAGCAAATCTCAGGATATTTTTTTTAAAGTACATCCACACACATCTGTATTACTGTACCTACTGAACCTGAATATCCAATGAACAATGGTGTTGTTGTTTTTTAAATCAGACGTGCAGTTTTCGATCATTCTCCACGATGTGGCGGTGCCAATTACGGCACTGATCATATAGTCCAGACACAGCAACTAATGGCAGTATGACCGTTAAAACTATACAGGAAACACCACAACAGTATGCACATGTGATATGTAATCGCCGATTCTCGGTGGAGATCTGCATGGTTTCTATGTCCTATCGAGTGACAGCAGAAGCAGCGTTAGCATTTTATTGCTTCGAGTGCACAGTGAATAGCCATCGTCAGCCTCCCAATGCAAACAAATTTGCATGTTTCTGTACTGCAAGAACCTTTATATGTCTGCTATTAAACACTGCAATTACAATGGAGCACAGACCATTCAACTCCGATCCTTGCCCGTTTCTCGAAATTCATGAGATGTATTTGCACAAGTGTCTGTGACGTGTCGGTCACAAATTATCGGTATGATCGGCTGGGCTTGGTGATGAACTTCGATCAGCTTTTGGTCCCCCTGGTTGTTTTGGGTGCATCTTGGATGGTGTGAATGGGTCCCCGTAGAGCAAAGAGTAGGTGACAGTACAGCAAATAGGGTGGTGATCAAAAGATGCAGAGTTTGATTAGTATCTCGTTATGTGTGGGCTCTTTACATGCACTCTGGTTTCCTTCCATACACAAGGACACTCCAAGGGAGAAAACTGCCCAAACATCCAATAGCAGAACCACCCATGAGTGAGGCCCTCCTGGGAAAAAAAATTGTCTAGATTTGTATATTGTACTTTACATTTGACGTGCATTTGAAAAACAGGATTTTAATAATGTAAAAACATATGCACCGACGATGAATGAGGAATACAGTTTGATGTTAAAGAAAACCAAACACTTCCTCCCAGGGAGGATATGGCGACACGTTCCTGTGCGACACGGCAAACCGATACTTGTTTACAGTGTCAGGTTTCACACACGCGCTTCTTTATAACGAGACAGGGAGGGCTAGCAAGCACAGTCCATGTGCGTGTGTTCAGCGATCTGGGTCTATCTTACTCGTCGGTGCGACATGCGTTATTGTAAGGGCCCCGTGGCTGTCGAAAGCCCGCGAGCGATTCTCAGCGCAACTTCAACACAAATCAAAAGTGGCCGGTGGAAATCCAGCAGTAGTCATCATCACTTCAGGCTTCGAACATCTTTAGACCTCTGCCATTGCTGAAGGGTATTTTTTTTGCCGTACATAATTCGGATTTATTTTTGTAGTACTGGCTCTTGAAGGATGTGGCCTCCATGCCTCTTGAAGTCTGTGGTCTGCATGCGAAATGTGTACAATCTAACCTGCAATGGCATGCGAGTGTGTCTCAGCAGTTATTCCATTGTAGCAGACAAGGGATGCAATTGCAGTTGAATTTTTTTTCAATAAAAATGTTTTAGAGCACTCAGCTCTCATAAGTGAAAGCTCTTAATAGCTATGCACACAAAATAATGTATCACAATACCGTACACATCATTGACATCCTGGGTTTTTGGCAAGCTTACCAATCAATTCCAATTCTTAGCCCAAAGCAATGGAGGACAGTTCCAAGAGCACAGGACCCTATGAATGAATTACCACTGACCTATGTCCAATGAATGTGAAGCAGACTTACAACCCACTGCCGCGCGACATTCCCACGCACAAACCGTTCAGCTGCCTACACTCACACGCTGTTGGGTAACATTCAATTGCAGCCACAAATGTACTTTGTATCCATTTCAGTCGATATCATCAGGGTTGAGGCCAAGGCCTATCTCTGCCCAATTTGAATCAATACATGATGGAATCGTACACGCTCGGAATGTGCGACTCAACGGATGTTTGGGGCCTAATCATTTTACACTTCCTCAACTACTTGTAAACCATTGCACAATGCTCCTGTAACGTTATACTGAATCGAAAATTGAACTGTATCTGCACTTGCAGCTATGCCTCCAGCTGTATTGGCAGCCTGCATTTCCCATTAAATAGGTTATTTAGGGGATAAGGGATAAAATTACATTTAGTAAATTGTTGTTTAGCCGCCAGGTAAATAAGTAAAAATTTGCAATCGGTTTTGGCTGCAATTTTCAGGATTAAGATTGTGGTTAACGCTTATTTGTAATATTTGAGTGTGCCTAAAATAAAGGACATTCATGGATTCATACGATGTTTGAATATCACCATCTAGTGGCCAATCTAGAGAATGCCCGATTTTGCCTTGATGCCAGCATTCAAGTAAGTTATGTGATATTGTTGCCAATACATCTGGCAAAATGGACTTAAAATAACACTTATGCAAAATAATTATACACGAATTAGTCATAATTATAGTAGCAGCATCAAGGCGAGCCAAGATGAGCCGTCAAACAGGGGATTTCAAGTGTGGAATCTCTTCCTGCTATATCCTAATAAAAAAAAACCTCATCAAACAGTGAAGCATTGTTATGATTGTTCCAAGACTAAACGTGGGACTGTAAATGTGCTTATCCAGGTAGCACAATAACTATTACCAGCATGAGTACCAACATCTTTATATTTAAAATCTGTTGCATTCTTTAAAACGATTTTGTCGGTACTGTCCATCGTGTGTGTGTATCATGCTGTTGGTAGGGATTGGACCATGTTATCATGCTCATTGGTGGATACAAGGAATGTGACTACCATCACCATTAATGCTGTTCTACGAGACCAATATAGCTCGATTGATATACAAAAATATGGGGAAATGACCACCGTCAATTCTCTTCCTGTAACTAATGTACACTTTGCATTTCAAATGTTTTACGTCAATCGAGCCTGTGTGTTTGCAACACCTTGCATTGTGTTCAACGCTAACATAACACAGTTAAAATAATCTGAACAAAAATAATTATTAAAACATAATAAATCCAATAATGAAGTTAAAATGGAAGTCCTTATTTTAACCAGACCACATATTCCGTGTTTTGCTTTCATGAAAACATTTGATACTTAAAAAAATATTTAAGACTTTACATTTTTCGACCGTGTTATTTTCAGTGTTAATTACATGTTGGAACTGCAGGTTACATGATGCAGCATTTTAACTATACATGATATTTTCTCCTTACAAACCCTCGTCATAACTCGTAGTGACATGGTGGACATGGTTACACTCGGTTAAGAGAAGGAAATACAGCGGTGGGGAATAATTTTCATTGTAAGTAGAATGAACGATCGATAACTCACATTGCATTGTATAATAAAAAAAAAGTTAAACAATTAAAAAAAAGTTAAATTATACAAATGTTCTCGGCTTAATGCATCAGTGGCAAAATACCGTGGCTGGACAATTGGCCAGATTGTCTTAAAATCAGCTGTATGGCAATGTCCATGCAAGGAAATGCCACGAAATCTCTATTGCAAGACACACGACAAACAAAAGGGCAGGTACAAAGAGACTTTACAGACATTCCATCGCCTCCAAAATGGTCCCACACTGTTTGAGCACAAATCAAACTTTATTTTCTTCATGTTCGACGACGAATCGAACCGTTGAAGCAGGCTGCTGTGCTCGGCTATTCTTGCCAAACAAGCTTCCGGAACCGGTCTTAACTTGGCAGGCATCAACGTTTAAAACTGTTAAATCATTGAGAGATGGTCGTTTTTTTTCGTCTTCTTTTTTTTGCGTTATGTTTTTTTAACTTGGTATACGAAATCCAATGAAAGCACTGGAGTACAAAATAGTCATGGACAGAAGTTTATCTTCCCAGTGTTGGTTTTCATGCAGGTTTTTGTTTTTCCCCTCCTCCTCCTCTAAATGTTTTACTTCTCAGCAGAAAAAAGTAATTCGTGGGAGAACCCGTTCAGCACGCAGGGTTATATGATGTGCTCAAAAAGATGCATGGACTGCATGATGCTGTCATCCTGAAGAGAAACAACGCAGAAGCACTCGTTAACAGCAGAATTGAGCCTGAATAGTGCTTTGACGGGTGACCACCGTGAAAATAAAATAGGTGCAAGCGACATTGTCGTCGGCAGCAGCAGAGGGCAGTGCAACATAATAGATTGTTCTGTGCTCCTCCGCTTTCCACACTGCACCAACCCGCAGTACACCGGGTGAAGTTGGTCAAATAACCCTCACGGCCTCGTCCAGCAGTCGACAAAAGGGCTCTACGCATCATGACGGACGGTGCATCGCGGGAAATGGAAATGCGTTTAACAGAATTGGTCATTTTATATTTACAGATGGCAATCGAAACTGCAGCGACCCACCGTAGAATGTGAAGATCGTAAAATTGGCTCGACTTTTTTTTAATTCGCATTTTTTTTTTTTAGAAATAGAGGACTTTGAACGTTATTCTAAAGTCTCTTCCACGTCGACAGTGCGCGCCTTCGTTTCAGTGTAATTTCTCACAGCTCAGATGCGGTGATAAGTGTGTGACGCGTGGGTAACGTCTCTCACCGTTTTACAAGTGTCCATGAACTCATCTATTGTAACAACTCCATCTTTGTTTTTGTCCATTTTCTGAAAAAGAAGATAGTGTATCTCATAGCAGAAAGAAAATCACAGTGATAAAAAAAATGTTGATTTCAAATGAACACCTATTGCTTATGCTATTCATCATTTTTGGTAAAATAAACACAAGCAAATGTAAAAAAAAACACAGCCAGATCTCTAAAACGCTGCACATAGTGGCGGCCAGCGCTAGTGGAAGGGGTGATGATCTTGATCAAGATGTGGTGAAGAGGAGCAGAGATGTAAAAACATGGGGGCAGGTATTGATGGTAGGGACAACGAGTCAGACAGACAACTCGTCAAAGACAGGAAACACAAAATATGTTAAGCCTGAACCTGAGGAAGGGGAGATAATCAGTTATATCGATGAACAAGGGGAGAGAATCCCATTCTTAGGAGACAACAAAGCAGAAGGAGTAGCCTCCCACAGTTTGAAAGTTGACGATAAGTTTAACTTAAGATGCCTTTGTTGCTGGAGTGGATGTGTGTAAACAGTGACAGAGATAGGAGGGAGGTTGTTGCAAGACTGTGTATGATCTTATAAACAATGAAGGTGATCTTGTCGTCTTTTCTGAATTAAATTTGGAGCCTGTGGAGTGATTTGAGCATTCGCGATATACAAGCCCATTTGCTGATGCAAGTCAGAAGTATGGCGGTGGCATTTGAGATGATCTGAAGTTTTGCGGTGGGGGATTTAAGAAAGCCGTGGAGGAGACGGGTGAGAAGTAGCAAAGGCATCAATGAGGGTTCATAGCAGCAGACGGGGTAAGGAAATTGCGGATGTGGGAAATTATGCAGAGGGAGCCTTGTAGAGTTGACGGATGTCAGACGATAAAGCGAATTTTGGATCATCCGTGCCATCAAGGTTATGAAATTCTTAGTGAGATTATTGTTACATGTCATAACACTGAATACTCGGTGTTGGGTCGTGACAAGGGGGCGATTTCTTGTGCCAATTAAGAGGACATCGGTTAAGGAACGAAGTTCAATATTTACATGGAGAAAGTAGACATGATCCAGGTTGAGATGGAGTCAAGACAGCAGAGATGACAGAGTAATCAGGAAATAATTGTGATAGGCAAAGAACCATATTCATACTTGTAGTCGAGGTGGATGGAGTGTTGGACAGGATTAAACACATCACTGAGGTCTATAAGATTGAGGATGTAGAGAGAACTACAGTGCAGAATCAGAATATGTATTTATACTGGAGGAATCCGATGAGCTATCAAGCAATTTTCACAGATGTCTAGTCAAAACTAGTAAGCACGTTACAACAAACAGAAAAAGATAATTGGTTATCTATAATAGGGCTCATAATGAAGGTTTTTGGGTTAGATCGCGTTATTTATAAATGTGTCGTAACCCTCCACCATCCGACACGGCCAAACAGTAAAAAAATGTGTCACATTTACAAAGGACAAATAATTCACTACTTTAGCCCTCTCTTCACTCTTCAACACACCGGTGGGCTAAAGTAGTGAATTATTTGTCCTTTGTAAACGTGACACATTTTTACTGTTTGGCCATGTCGGGTGGTGGAGGGTTACGACACATTTATAAATAGCGCGATCTAACCCAAAAACCTTTATTATGAAAAATATTGGTCGCGAAAGCCTACGTGTTAAACATAATAGGGCTGTTTAAAAAAAAATGGAGACAAGATCAGAAAGAGTAAAGCCGTGGAAAAAAATAGGCTATGAGAGAGGATGTGGGTGATGTGTGTACGTTTAACTTCTTTCGCACCGTACATAGTCAACCGTGCTAATCGGCGGTGATGCAGCTTTGCAGGATATTTCACAGGAAAGGGACAATGGAGATATGGCAGTAGCTTTGTGGGGTATCAGGATTCATGGATCTTTCTTTCGGATGGGATGGTAATAATGGTTGGCTTGAGGACTAGAGGAACAGTACCAGAGGAAATGTAGGAATTCACAAATGCAGTAATGGAGTGGACTATGGTGGTCAAGTATTGAGCGATAAACATGTTAGGCATAAGATTAAGGTTGGCAATGGACGTTTTTAAATTATGCCTACGAGTCACTCACTAAATATTTGCTCAAAAAAAGTAACAAGCGAATTCATTTATGCATGCGTAACGGGGACAATTTGAATCAAATGTTATAGCTAAAAGAGGTTCTTTAAAGCGCTCACCTGGAAGAACTTTTCAACATGTTCTAGTGGTGCTTCATCTTGCACAGCAGGGTGCGTGTATTTCCCCATCATGTCATAAATGGATCTCATGATGTCCAGCATTTCCTATAAAACAATAACGAGCAGAGAACGATGTGACGGCGTTGTAAACATTCACGTGGGTGCCTTCTGCGCCGGGGAGTATGCGGCGGTTGTGGTCGAGGTAGCATTGTGCTGCACTGACGTCCTTGTTGGAGAGTTTAGTCAAAGTAAAAGGAAAAAAATGTATTTGCTCCAACTAAAACAAGTTTATCAATCGAGTCGGTACCCCCGTGTGAGCCATGCAACGTGGTGCATTACATTATGAAATGCGGGGGTGAGAAGTGACCTCACGGTAGCTAGTCCACTGCGCGGTAAACCCGGAATCCTGAGCTCGATTCCAGGCTGCAGCTAACATGATTAGCGAGTAATATCTGAACTCGATCAACGGACCCTCCATCCACCAACCCTCCACTGACCAGCGTGGTAAAGTACGATCAACCCCCATGGCCGATGCCCTGATATGGGGTGCTGCTCATCTCGGATCCTATTTTGTACGCTTATCTGTGCATTTTCTGAATTTTATCCATGGACATTTGACAATTGGACAATAAAGGACGGATGAAGATGAGTTTCACTGTACGTAACAACAAATACAACATATTAACTCAATTTGGATGAAGAACCTTTAAAAGGATGAATATTACTATTTTGGTGTTCTTTCAATTCTATTTTTTATTTTTATTTTACTTAACCAGGTAAGGCACACTGACCTATATAGCTCTTTTTTTGAGAAACGACCTGGCCACAACTGATAGCTGATCGAAGTGGCTTATCATCTGGAAATGTAAAGCAGCCAATTAGTCTAAATGCTCGTTTCTAAAATGTGGGAAAAACGGGAAGGCCACGGATAAAAATCCACGTGACGACAGGGAGAACGCGCAAACTCCAAATATACAGCAGCAGGCGTCAGTGTCGGGGTCAAACCCACAACCTCCTGTCTACCAGGCGAGGTAGTTAACATCTCGCCACCGTGACGACATTCAAATGGCATGCTCGTGTAAACAGTGCGAAAGAATTTCAACATACATACATACAAAGGTTGAACGTGTTTCCTAACCTCCTTGGTGATGTAGCCATCCTTGTTGATGTCGTAGAGGTTGAAGGCCCAGTAGAGCTTCTCATTGATGGTGCCTCTCAGCAGCACGGACAGGCCCATCACAAAGTCCTGGACAACAATACTCGAGGAATTAGAAAGCCAAGCAAACTCAAACCTCAACCTCTATCTAAATACAGCTGTTTACAAAGTGAAGCATGCGGCAGTATTGTGACGGCTCCAATTATCCCCGCTCCACAAAAATAAATGACTTCATTTAAAAAAAATAAACAAACATATGCTGTACTTTTTGTTTTTTTCCATCAGTCCTCCTCTCAAACAGAACATCCAAGAATGGCAGCTTGCCATCTTTCTCCACTTCCATGGTGAATTTGATGGATGGGTGTCTGGATTTAATGTGGTCTAGGAAATGGTTCAATGCTGGGAGGCCATGTGGCCAAATGACGAAAGTGTCATCCACATATCTCTTCCATAGGGAAGGGCGAAGGGTGGATGTTTGGATGGCGTCTGATTCAAATTTCTCCATGAAAACATTGGCTATCACTGGTGACAAGGGGGAGCCCATAGGGGTACCTTCATTTTGTTTGTAGAAGGTGCCATTCCAAGTAAAGTAGGTGTTGGTGAGGCAGTGCCTAGCCAGCACAGGTACCTCTGGGTTCAGTCCATGTTGGACCAAATCTTCAATTATTGTTATGGTATCAGGTACTGGGACGTTGGTGAACAGAGAGACCACATCAAATCTGACGAGGATATCGTCAGGAGATAGTACAATAACTCAGCCCTCCCACCCACCCACGTCCCTTTCTGGCTCCCCCCCCCCCCGACCTATATATAATCCAAGTCGTCTCGGAACTGTTCACTTGACACAGATATTCTGCTGCGACTGTTCCACCTGAAGACAGAAGCTTGTGTTGCCTCCGAAACGTCATGATTTAATTGTTCTCTTTTATTTTATTTACCTACGTGACTTTACCGAAAAAAACAAAAAGTATGAATCATTGCAGTCACGAAAGCTTCAAATCTAGAAACATATGCTGTATTTAAAGATGGTGCATTTGTCTATCAATCAGTGTGATTCGCGTAACGCTAAAAGACTGTGTGAGCAGCAATAATAGGATTATAGATGTTGACTTCTCCACAAACACACCCCGTAGCTTTGATTTAAAAATAATTATACACTATGTTGCCCACTCGAAATGAAGGACGTGGGCAGTTGCTCCAAATCGAGGGCAAACACATTTATTGTGGTAATCTGTAAAATCCAACAGCACGTGTGTCACACACGGCAATCCTAAACCGAGTCGCCATTAACCACGTGACTGGTGTATAGGTCAGGTCACTCAATAACCCTGCCAGACACCCACAGGCCCAACTCAGTATCGCTTGCCGGTGTACACACGTGCATTTATGTACCGCACAGCACATAATGACCTTCACAAAACCACACTTTATTCCATTGCTGCACGAGGAAATACATATTTAAAAGAGTGGTCCATTCCTAATGTGCCACACTAATGACCAACAACAGTGGATTGCCCAAAGGGCTGTAAATTATGATAAACATGTTTTATTATTATATGGTAGTGTTTTGTATCAATACACTGCCGTATTGCAAGTGTGTCACAACACGGCACTTGCATTCTACAGTACTGTATTTGCTTTTTATTAACGTGCAAACCAGTGTAGTGCGAGACGAATATATTTCTTTAATTGCAATGGCTTAATGACACGGGAGCTGGTTTTGGTTGATTTCCGACTTGTCTCTATCACGGGTCAAGCGTGCACAGCTAGAAATAAAATCCAGGTCTACAGGCCCACAAGCATGGCTCCCTGCGTTGTGCATACAATTTGCGATTTGAAGACCATATTGAGTCACTGCTATAATCAAATTTTAAAAATATATGTTGAGGAGTAAACAATGATTTGCGACACAAAACTTCATCTATATCTTATCTTCTCAAATAAAAAAAGGATAAAAATATGACTTTGCATTTTTGTTCATGCATAATGTAAGAATGCAGGATATCTCTTTAAATACAAGTGATTCCATTATGTTTCTTATTAAGCGAGGTCCATAGTATATCTCAGCCACATGGTGGTCTATAGCCGTCCTCAGAAAGCTTACTTAGTTATATGACTTGCAGGTCACAGATAAACTCAAAGATCCAGCTTAGGTCTTATCTCCATGTGGTATTTGAGACCCGGGGCTCACACCCATATCGCTTAATCTGCTGCAAGAACTGAACACATAGATATTTACCCTAATCATTGCCCTTATCCTATCCCCATGTTCCATATTTTTATTGAAAATGTATAAGTATATATTGGCCTGTCAACGATTCTTAGTCAGGCTTTCTGTAAAAGGCAATTTAAAAACTGTGTATTACTTTGCGAATGCTCAACGTGACCCACGTTACTGAAATTATTTGGGTTGTTTCAAGGGAAATTACTCTCCTAATATCAAGCACGATTTTAGCTCTTTGTTCATAATGTATTCCAGGTCAGATAAACAGTTTAAATGGTCGTGGATCCTGGCAAGTTTTTTAACTCTATGCATATTACTCAATGTCATAAAAAGTGCAAATTGTAGGCCTATTTTTAAAAAGCACCTCCCATGTTACATGTTAACATTCATCACAACACGACGTGATGTAGAGTTTTTTTACTGCAAATGCCAGCAGCCTGCGGCTAAGCACCCTGCTGCCGGATAATTAGGCGAAATCAGAATTCCAGTATGTTCCATTTACACTTTGAAAAGGACATTCAATGTTTTTTTTTATTTCACGTAAATTGCGCTGTGAAATGACATGACACATTGTGGATGAGCCAGGGTCCTCCCGCTGACACACAGCAAGGGTACACAGGCCACATGCCACCCGTGTGCACTTCACAGGAGGCACGTGTGGCCTCATAGTAGCTGAATGACAACCGATGAACTGAATGCAGTGCTTGTGTTCTCCATTACCCTGGGCACCCTCGTTGTAATGATGATGTCATGACACATGCACGCACACACACACACAAGTATACAGTATCAGAATCAGAAAATGTATTTATACTGGAGGAATCCAATGAGCTATAAAGCTCTTTTTCACAGATGTCTAGTAGGGGCAGGTAAAAAACGTTACAACAACAAACAATACAAAGACATGATAGTAGCGCAAAGTACAAGAAAGGTAAATAAGTCACCCAAATACAAACAAATACAGTTAAACTATCCCCATCCTACCAGAAAAAGCCCACTGAGGTATTAACTTATTTTTCAGATGCGACCTGGCCACAAATGATAGCTCAACAAACCGGCCCATCATTTTGACATTTATAGCACCAAAATAATCTAAATAATCTCTCCAACGAATATATCATCGCAAAAGCATTAAGTTCAAGCTGTACTCCGTACTATATATGCACACAATACAAGATGGCAAACGCGAAATATACTTTAAAATGCAGGTTCAAAAAGTGATATGTTTAAGAGGGTGGAGTGTTTAGCATAATGCACTTTGAACTCGGCGACTTAAAGAAAATTCAATGTAATGATTAATATTATACAGCGTCGTTCACGCATATTGCATCTCACAGTTACTGAGGAACCACGGACGAGCTGGAAGGCTGCCAAGTGGTGAGCCGGTGCCAACAATTGCTCTGCAGTCCTCTATATATTAAGATGTTTTCAGCCATTCAGTGAGTGTCCATACATGCGGGAGGAAAACCGGAGCGCCCGGAGAGAACCCACGCGTGCGAGGGGGAAACGCTCTATCCCATCACACAGAAAAGGGACAGTTGACATCAGTCCACACTTCGATGTTCTCGGTAAAGGAGTCTCGCAACATTTCAACCCTTTGTCCGATCCACCAACCCTCGCGACCTGAGTTCATTTCCGGCCCCTGCACCCCCCTCCCCACCCACCCCCCACCTCTGTACCTCCCTCTCCTCGACCCTCTGCACAAACGCGCACTGTTACCAGCGTGGTGAAGTGTGCTCAGGCAACCCTTACAACTGGCCGTGTGCGGGGGGAGGCACCTCCGGTGAGCGCGGTTGGCCTCCGTTACGGTGCGAAAACAATTAAAACATAACACGCATCCAGCAGTGGAGTGGGCAATGGCTGGAAGCTGGGGGGGGGTTTGTTTGTTTTTTGTTATTGACGGTGCACAGCGCAAATGTGGGCTCGGATGTTAGGCGTGGTTCCGAGCGTAATAAAAAAAAGACGGCATCACCGCTTACCTCGAAGCTCAGGGAGCCATTGTGATCCGTATCAAAGGCGTTGAAAAGAAAGTGGGCATATGTACTGGCATCTGCAAACAGATTACAACAGGCAGTTACTTGGGTAGAACAATGTAATTACAGTAATTATATAGATTATGGTAGTCTATGCTTTAAAACCCAAGCACTATTAATGTATCAGTATGTTTAAGGGACGGATATTAGCCCACATGTAAATGTGACGTATATAAATGCAGATGGAAAAAAAAAACAGACATTTTCATGCTCAAACATTTCAAGTCTGCTTAAGGTAGCTATAATTATTATTAAAAATACTTTGAAAGTAATTTACTACAATTAGAGCTATCTCAGGCAGTCACGCATGCAACCTTTAAAATTAACTGAACAAACCAAATCGCCTGAATTATTTAGAGCAAGAACATTGATTGAATACAACACTCCCAGTACACAAGGAGGCGTGGGCCACAAGTGCACCAGTGAATGCATCACGGTTCACGCATTTAAAACGCATGCATGTCCCCCGCCGCTGTGATAAAATAGGACACACCGTGACGCCGAATAACACTCACCCCTGCGCGAGACGTGCGTGTTTAAAAGTAAAACTCCGTACCCACCTCCCTGTGGGAAGAACTGCGCGTAGATCTCCTTAAAGTTATCCTCGTTAACGATCCCGCTGGGGCACTCCTGCAGGGTCGGCGCAGACAGGGTGAGGGACGGGAGTCGCACGGAGGACAACAATGAATCCCATTACATTATTGATAAATACATGGGGCGAGAAGGGAGGGCATTGTCTGACATGGCACTCCCGGGGGGACGCGGCCGGATTGCAGGGAGAGAGAAAAATATATACTTTGAGGGCATAATGGGTGGCATCACCTAACTTGCTGCAATATTGCTCAGCTCAGTGGATAATACGAGAAGCCACCCACGCCCTCTATTAGACCCTGTATCTTCTGCTCTCGTCATTTATTTGCAATTGCAGAGATAGCTTCTACGTGTTTCAAGGGGCCTGAATGGACGCACGTTTGGTTAATGGGAATGGTGTCAAGTTCTTTGGGTCTTTCGGTCAAGTCACGTAGATGGTTATTTATTCCTATTATTGTTACTTATTTTAACCTATGTCACTTCACCGAAAGACCCAAAGAATATGAGTTGCTGCAGTCACGAAAGCTTTATGTCAAGATCTAATGGTGTCAAGGTTAAGGTATTGGTGGGCAAAACGATGACCATCTTGCATTTTTTCTCTCCCATTGTGAATTGAATTTCCTCGTAATTGTACGAACCAATTTTTTTTTAATCTGACAGCAAATACACGCGAACAGAGTTAAAGCAATGCACTTGCAATGCATTTGCAAACGAAAAAATTGGCCATTTCCCACATTAAGTCACATTACTTATAAAGCACTCCGTTTTTATTGCTGAAGCTTTTGTACAATTTACAAACCAAACACGGTCGCGCATGAATGCACACACATGTACGTAACATCGTAACACCTCATTGAGGTGTACGTGCACACATGTGTAAACACACAAATTAGCAATGGCAAATTAGAGACCAGGACACGGCACAACTATGCCAAGATTATGACTTTCACAACGGGGACGCACTAAGTCTCACAGTTCATTACTGTTCCCATGAACTCCAACGCCTCCACCCACGTTGATCCACACTGTGTTCAGCCACCACACTGAAAGGCCAAAACATTTCTCTTTCTGCTTCGTCCCACATACCGTTCGACTTGGGAATTAATTCCAATCATCTCATTTCCCAAGTCTTCACAACCTTGCTCAGCTTGATATAGATACGCTTCTGCGGCCGTCTGGAATGCTCTTCCTTCCAACATTAGGAAGCCAGTGGAGCTATGCACTTTTTAAATCTAGATTGAAAACTCATTTTCTTTAGATCCACTTTTTTGTGTTTAGCTTGCTGTCCATCCCCCGCACCTCCGATTAGCATGGTAGGCTATGTACGGTGTGAAAGAAGTTCAGCATACATACATCTATAAATTAACTCTTCTCTATTACACATGCTGTCGTGCTGTTTTCTGCTGGCTGCTAGGCGTGTTGGGCCTTTAGGGATTACGCTGCAGCGACCACGCCTAGAGACAGAACGTGTTGCAGGGGCATTCCTCTACCCGTGTCTTTATCTCAAGTGAACACGGGTTACACTGGGGTCGTGGTACACCTTCTCCGTGGCATGGTCCTGGTGGCTCTACGTGCGTCAACAACACGCGGTTATTCAAATATTGTACAGTTGGCGGATCTGAACACCTTATCTCGAAATTCAAACCATTTCCTGTTCGGTCGGTCAGAGTTCCTTGACCTCGTATCAGAACGGCCGCGGTGTGCAACGTTTATTGTTGGCGAGTTTGTTGTTTTTGTGGGTAATTTATTTTTCTCCCACGAGTTGTCCAGCTCTCTAACTTGTGACGCAAACTAAATATGAGCAGACCTCCATTCTGTCTCTCCACATGTAATCGAAATATGTTTTCGTCTGTCAGCCTATTGGCATTCCTGGCCAATATGATCAAGCAGCAAATGTTTAAGTGAGCAAACTCTGGACTCCTTTTGACTCTCTGCGTCAGATGCTATTGGCAAGAGTACCCCAAGTAAAATATATTGGATCTGATTCAGCGCAAAAAAGCAATGACGTACACAAACTCAGCATGGGTTGCTGCAAAGCATCATGAAAACAAATATATAAGCAGAACTCCATTCTGCCTCGCCAAATATAAACACAAACACATTTTGTCTGTATGACATGAACAAAAAAAACCTCACCATGCTCACCATGTTCGTAATTAATAATGCGACCATACAATATATACACTGTTTAGACAGCAGTATACACGTACAAGATGTGGCTCTTCTTCAGAGCAAACAAGAGTCGACGTAACACTCGTTTGTAAGGAAGTGTTGACGATGGGTTCTTCGATGTACTCTTTGTACTCCACTACCAAAGTCCCCTTAATTAATCTCTGTAATTATAATTATCGGTCAAATCCTGTGCTGTCACAGTAACACTCTTGGCGTCTGACACCACCACTGTATTCCAAGGTACTACAGTGAGGGAAAAAAAGAGTATTTGATCCCCTGCTGATTCTATACGTTTGCCCACTGACAAAGAAATGATCAGTCTATAATTTTAATGGTAGGTTTATTTGAACAGTGAGAGACAGAATAACAACAACAAAATCCAGAAAAACGCATGGCAAAAATGTTATAAATTGATTTGCATTTTAATGAGGGAAATAAGTATTTGACCCCCTCTCAATCAGAAAGATTTCTGGCTCCCAGGTGTCTTTTATACAGGTAACGAGCTGAGATTAGGAACACACTCTTAAAGGGAGTGCTCCTAATCTCAGGATGTTACCTGTATAAAAGACACATGCCCACAGAAGCAATCAATCAATCAGATTCCAAACTCTCCACCATGGCCAAGACCAAAGAGCTCTCCAAGGATGTCAGGGACAAGATTGTAGACCTACACAAGGCTGGAATGAGCTACAAGACCATTGCCAAGCAGCTTGGTGAGAAGGTGATAACAGTTGGTGCGATTATTCGCAAATGGAAGAAACACAAAAGAACTGTCAATCTCCCTCAGCCTGGGGCTCCATGCAAGATCTCACCTCGTGGAGTTGCAATGGTCATGAGAACGGTGAGGAATCAGCCCAGAACTACAGGGAGGATCTTCTAGATTTGAAGCTTTCGTGACTGCAAGGATTCATACTTTCTTGTTTTTTTCGGTAAAGTCACGTAAGTAAAATAAAATAAAAGAGAACAATTAAATCACGACGTTTCGGAGGCAACACAAGCTTCCGTCTTCAGATGGAACAGTCACAGCAGAATATCTGTGTCAAGTGCACAGTTCAGAGACGACTTGGATTATATATATAGGTCAGGGGGGAGGGAGGAGCCAGAAAGGGACGTGGGTGGGTGGGTGGGCTGACTTAAGCCGCCTTTTGTTAAACTGCACAAAAGCGGGTAAACAACCCTTTTTGATCCCATCCATGAAGGATGTCATCCCTGACTTACAGTACCCCGGTGTTTACAAATTGAGTTGTACCTGCAGTGACTGCTATATCGGGGAGACGAAACGACATATTTCTGACCGAATCCGCGAGCACAAATCAGATTTGTAACATGGCACAACGAATTCTTCGGCCGTGGTTGATCATTGCTTCAATACAGCGGGTTCTCATGACATTGTGTTCTCTGATACCAAAGTTCTCTGCAAACCTCCCGGTTATTACCAAAGATTTGTCCATGAAGCCATCCAGATACACAAACATAGACACAACTTCAACCGAGAGGATGGTTTCAAATTGAGCAACCACTGAAAAGATGTTATAAGTCAAGTCAAACGTTAGATGCCTTTTAATTGTACAGCCATTTCCACTTCTCAGTGGTTGTATGTCAAACTTTAGCTACCTTATAATTTTACAGCCATTTTCGTAGTTTTCATTTTAGGTTTCAAAAAATTGGTCTTCACTTGATGTCTTGCATCACCTCCCCCCGAAACCCCCCTGCAGCATAACAAAAGGGTTGTTTACCCGCTTTTGTGCAGTTTAACAAAAGGCGGCTTAACTCAGCCCTCCCACCCACCCACGTCCCTTTCTGGCCCCCCCCCCCCGACCTATATATATAATCCAAGTCGTCTCTGAACTGTGCACTTGACACAGATATTCTACTGTGACTGTTCCACCTGAAGACGGAAGCTTGTGTTGCCTCCGAAACGTCGTGATTTAATTGTTCTCTTTTATTTTAATTTACCTACGTGACTTTACCGAAAAAAAACGAAAAGTAGGGAGGATCTTGTCAATGATCTCAAGGCAGCTGGGACCATAGTCACCAATAAAACAATTGGTAACACACTACGCCATGAAGGACTGAAATCCTGCAGCGCCCGCAAGGTCCCCCTGCTCAAGAAAGCACATATACCTGCCCGTCTGAAGTTTGCCAATGAACATCTGAATGATTCAGAGGACAACTGGGTGAAAGTGTTGTGGTCAGATGAGACCAAAATGGAGCTCTTTGGCATCAACTCAACTCGCCGTGTTTGGAGGAGGAGGAATGCTGCCTATGACCTCAAGAACACCATCCCACACCCCAAAGCATAATGGAAACATTATGCTTTGGGGGTGTTTTTCTGCTAAGGGGACAGGACAACTTCACCGCATCAAAGGAACGATGGACGGGGCAATGTACCGTCAAATCTTGGGTGAGAACCTCCTTCCCTCAGCCAGGGCATTGAAAATGGGTCGTGGATGGGTATTCCAGCATGACAATGACCCAAAACACACGGCCAAGGCAACAAAGGAGTGGCTCAAGAAGAAGCACATTAAGGTCCTGGAGTGGCCTCGCCAGTCTCCAGACCTTAATCCCATAGAAAATCTGTGGAGGGAGCTGAAGGTTCGAGTTGCCAAACGTCAGCCTCGAAACCTTAATGACTTGGAGAAGATCTGCAAAGAGGAGTGGGACAAAATCCCTCCTGAGATGTGTACAAACCTGGTGGCCAACTACAAGAAACGTCTGACCTCTGTGATTGCCAACAAGGGTTTTTCCACCAAGTACTAAGTCATGTTTTGCAGAGGGGTCAAATACTTATTTCTCTCATTAAAATGCAAATCAAGTTATAACATTTTTGACATGCGTTTTTCTGGATTTTGTTGTTGTTATTCTGTCTCTCACTGTTCAAATAAACCAACCATTAAAATGATAGACTGATCATTTCTTTGTCAGTGGGCAAACGTACAAAATCAACAGGGGATCAAATACTTTTTTTCCCTCACTGTATATACAGATTATGGTCTGTGTAAATTACTCTTGACATGGTAAGGGAATTAGTATGCTGGGCAATACATGGATGAGCCTTCAAATAAAAACAAAAATGCACATATAAAAAAAATATTCTCTGGCCAGCCATAAATGTCAGACATCACTTCGCAGTGTCACTTTACAACAAGCAGAACCAACGTTAAGCAGTTTTCTAGATTTTATCTTGCCAATTCTTGGTAAATTTCCAATCGTGTTTTGACCCGGTGGCTGTTTTCAGCCATCTCTAAGCAGTGTCCAAATAAATTGTCATTTATTGCAAGAATGACAGGGGATCCATCTTGGACCATGAATATCTGAAAACAAAATATGCAAAATAGCAATTATTTTCAATTGTAACATTTTTATCAAGATATATATATGGTAGTCCCTCAGTCAGCGTTTTAAATCCATTCTACGAAAACTTACGTGAACCGAAATAGCTGTTAATCGAAATCCATTATAAGTTGAAAAATAAATAAAAATCACTGATTCTGCAAGAGAGCTGTTTTTCCACTGCCAATACAGAAGACGTAATCATGTAAACAAAGCCAGTCGAGCTGAGGGAATGGCTCAGTTCCGCTTACGAGCACTCGGATTGGCCGAAATTGGCGCCCGCGTGCATAACGTAAAACAAAATGTTAACCTTAGGCGAAACATTAACCGAAAAAACCGCTAAACGATATGGCTGTTAACAGGACTACTGTATATGTTATCAAAAAGTATTTAAAATGTCAGAAAATGCCCTTGAAATCTTTATATATTAGCTTTCACGGATCATGTTCAATATTCTTGTCCACTATGAAGGAGAGCCTAAGTGTGTGACTACGAGCGTTTTGGGGGCACTGACCCATGTCTGATTGGTTTTTGGATACGAACACATTCCTCCTGGCTATCGTTCACAGCCGGTGTGTCTCGCCAATCCTTATCTCGAAGTCACCTTTGTGGTATCGCCCCAGTTGGCTGATTAAGTATTTCAGTTGTGTCCGTTGACGCAGCCAATATACAATAAAATTACTAAAGTCTAGCCATGGCAACTCAATGTGAAATCATATAAATGTTCACCCTCCATGTCAAAACGGCGTGCAGATTGCAGTCAATTTATGGTCAACTGGGTTTCTGCATTGAGTTACAGAAAAACGGCTTTGCTGTCATGTCCAATTTCCACACAAGGGGGTTTCCAAGCAACCTTAACAACACAGGTACAATCTGACCTCAACATGACATATTTGTCCCCACAGCTGCCACTGCATTGATCTGAGGGCTATAAAATGTCTTCGTTGCAAAATATTTTTGTAGGCAGTGCATTTTGGGGCATATTTATGGTCACAGGTGGGACTAGATACTTTTTTTCAAGGTTTATCATATATATGTGGAATAATTATGACTAAAACCATTGCCTAACATAAGCAATTAATTAATATTTGTGTCTATACCTTTGCTCTTCAGTGGGCAGCAGAGCACAGCATTGGAAATCTATCCCCATAATTTTTGTCCTGGCAAAATCGGAATTGGATCAAAAGATGATTGAACTGACCGTGCGCAGATTAGAATGTGACCCAAATGACATTGGGTCATGTCCCGATGGAATTATGGACCAATATTTTCAGATAAAACATGTAAAAAAATACATCAACGGCCACAAAAATAGTACACCACAAATCCAGGAGTCGTATAATTTAGCACGTAAGTTTTGGCAGCCACTCTACAATCCAAGTGTGATTTTCCAGGTGGGGGCTTCGTGTTGGACATTTCGTCTCAGGCAATAAAGCAGTTGACACCTCCCAGTGCCGCTGAAATTACTGTGTTACGAATTCATGCAAAATATTTGGTGATGCTGCGTTGGCAAATAGAGCACAAGGACAATTAACAAAACAAAATGATATGCTGTGACTGGCCATTTCTCAAAACATCGCCTATTATACATTTTCTCTTTTAAGGTCACAGTGTTATTGACGAATGTGTTGAGGTTTTTTTTTGTCCCCCCCACCCAATATACAATTCTGGTCGCACACGTGATGGCAGAAGTAACCCTTGTGGTAATTAAGGCAACTTACCGGATTATAAGCTCATAAGAATAAAGGGGGAAAAAGTGCGTCACAATCTGTAGAATATGAAAATATTCTCACGGTGGAGAGATGTTAACTACCTCGCCTGGATACAGGAGGTCGTGGGTTCGATCCCGACCCTGATGCCTGCTTTATATTTGGAGTTTGCACGTTCTCCCCATGGTGGTCGCGTGGATTTTTCTCTGGGCACTTCGGTTTTTCCCTCCCCATTTAGAATCAACGTGCGCTTAAGAGTATTTGGCTGCTGTAAATTTCCACACGACTACAAGTCATTTCGTTCAGCCATCACTTGTGATGGCCGCGTCGCTCCTGAAAAAGAGCTGTACAGCTCAGAGGGCCTTACCTGGTTAAATAAAAAAAATAGTTTGATTTAGTTTAAATCAGGCACAATACCAGCATCGCAAGCGATCCATTGCAGGAGGGGACACTCACGTTTTTGAAGCTGCGGTACAGCACCTGCAGCTCCTTGCGTGAGAACTTGCTCTGGGCCTCCAGCTTGTCGAGGGCTTCAGGCCGGTGGCGCACCGTCGCCAACTCCAGCTCATCCTCCGCGCTGTCTACACCGCAAGCCCAACCGCACGCGGGAGAGGATCGTCAAGCGCGGAGTCGGCGGCACGGTTACGGAGGAGCTCGCTCCACCCTCCACAGAGGGCCTCCCCCGCTGGAGGGAGCACCGAGAGAGCACCTCAGGAAAGGCCTACTACGCTGGTCGGGCATTACCGCAAGAGGCAGAAGCATGAACGTTCTACGCCACTGCAGACGATTGATCGATTGTGGTGTACCCGTGTTTCTGCTGGGCGGACAGGGGTGCGGTGGATTGCAGAAGATCACTTTTCGAAATGAGACTATCCTGGTCTCTTGATTTCCCACCTGGTTAAAAAAGGAAAACTTGAAATTGAAGAAATGTGCACCGTTGTTTAAACATCCGCGCCGGGAGATCGACTTGGACTGGCGGCCTCTGGATTGCAAAGTCCGGTGCGCTCACCATCACACATCGCGGCAGCGTCCCTTCGTTGCAAATGCACGGCAAAATACCTTTCCGCATAAGTGAAGGCCCTGTGCTGTGACGTCTTACAGTCCGATCAAAAAGGCTGTATGCGAAAAATGGAGAAATGCGATTGTAGGGAGAAATGAATGGCAGTGCGTTTTATTATTTAAACAGAACCGTAAGAGGAATGAGCTTGGAAATCACCTCTGGGTTTTAAAATTCGCAAGGGAATAAAACAGTTATCGTTTTGGAGAAATCAACAACCGAACGGATTCTTAAGTCGTTTAAAAAAACGTCACTGGGTTTTTCGTCAAGCAGCGGAAGACCGGCTAAGCGTGCGGTCGTGTTATTAAATATACTGGTGTGAGATGTCGTCGAAAGATTTTAACGTTAAATCGTCAATGCAGCTACACAGGGAGAGGCTATCGTATTGTGCAATCAACACATACAAAGCAATGCAGGTTCAATAATGGTTATAATTACTATCTCGCTATGATGCCTAAAAAAATTATGCTGGCAGTAATAATAATACTACCAGGAATACATAAATAACTAGGAGGGCAAGCAGGCAGGGTGTGCCATGTATGGGGATGACATCCATAGCAGTGCCAATGCTGCTGCTGCCTCTCTTCATGTAATAATTTTGAGTAATTTCGCTTCCACCAGGATAGAAACGGGCTATGCTGTCCTGATCAATAACACATATTGTGCCATTGCAGCACAAACACGCGAACAATGCTCTGTCACGAGAGAAGGCATTTTAATTTTAAATTATCTCTGAATTAAAGTTTAATGTTTGGTCTTTCAGAAAATCTAGCATAATCATGGAATATTTCATTTCATCAAATCCTTGGGATCAATGCAATAAAAATAGTGTATAATACCGCGTGGGTGTTAGGCATACTATTAATCATGCTTTTTTAAAGTTTTGATATTTCACTTTCTAATTGCCAAGGCCAGGTCAACCGTCCAAGTATATTTGGTAGCAAAGCGATCTCCCAAGCAACATTTCATCACAGATTGGGCCAACTTTAATCAGGTGGCCCCGGTACCTGACCCCCCCTCCCACCACCCTGTCTCTCGCACTCATAGCAGACACCCCCCACCCCCCGCCCCCACACATTCTAAGTAGATCCCAGTCAGAATTTATTCTAACTGTAGCATTGATACAAAAAAAACCTGAGACTTATCAGAACGTTTCCATTTTCAGCTTGGTGGTTCCTGCTGGGAAAAGTAATTAAATTCAGACTTTAATTTCAAAATAGAGTAGACAAACCGTGTAAAAAAAATACTGTTTCAAAAACTGATACTCTTGTGTAAAGCAGAAATACCCTTTACTCATGCTGCTGTTCGGAAAAGCTAATCATTGTTTTTTTGGTCCAATGATAGGTCTGAATCTTCAAACAAATCGCTTTTCATGTGCAACAGACTAAACTTTATTGATAGATGACTGGAATACAAGGAGCGCCTGGTGGAGTGATGAGCTGTGTAAGCAAGTTGAGCTTTCCCGTTGCTGCTTTATATGTAGCGCACATTGAATGACAATTATTATGTTACAGTCCTATGTGAATAATAATAATTTCAACTGGTAATATGCCGCACAGTTTGTGCTCGCTCTCCAAGAGAAAGACTCAGGGGGAGTGAGGAACCACAGACAAGCAAGGAAGGCAGCCAGCGTCATACACCCCCCCCCCCCCCCAAGCTCTGTGGTCCTCTATATATGAAAGTGTTATCAGCCAATTAGTGAGTGTTTACAAGTGGGAGGAAACCGGAGCACGAGGGGAAAACCCAACAATCTATCCCATACAGATGGAACAGGTGCAGTCCACGTTTGGCTGTACCCCCTTGTCCTGGCGAGCCAGGGTATAATAGCTGGCACCTCGACGCCCACGGGAAGGGAGTTTCACAACGTCTGTGTGTGATCCACTGATCCTCGCCGTCTCCACAGCGCTGGATTACAGGTGGCGTGCGCCACCATCGTGGCGAAAAACGTTCCCCCCCCCCCCCCCCCGAGCGGAAAACGAACGAGGAGGGCCGAATCGTAACCACGAGACCTTCGGGGATCACGCGAGATGAAGGCCCTCACAAATTTCACCACACAGGTCAGTGTGGGCTGGTGAATGGCCGGTTCATATACCACTCACCAGTGATATTAGCCATGGCTCGGAATTGAACTCGGGTCACTTGGTTCATTGTACAATGTGCTACCCCCGCTGTGCGGCCACTCCACCCACAGCACATAAATACAATTTGGGATATACCGAATCAAATACTTAACCCACCCCAAACCTCCACCTCCCCCCCCACACAAATGTAAAGACTATACAAAAGATAATATAAATATATTCCTTTTTTCATGGGTTCAAATATATTGAATTGCATGAATTAGAATAATAGCGATATAGCCCTGCTACACATTTGTATGGGCATTTGCCTCCCCTAGGTATTTCTGTCAAAGCCATGTGCGTGTGCCATACATCAAGCCAACGGGTTTGCCGACACTGAATCATATGGTGGAATTTATCTGGCTCCAAATCCCTGCTTAACCCGGTGTCTTCACCAACCCACGCTGAACAGTGTGGTGAAGCATGCTAGGTGTGTCTAATTAAACACACATTAAATGTACACATTTTGAATTAAAGCCAAAAAAACGTAATAAAGAAAACGTTCTAACAGCAAATAAACGCAAAACAGGACTTGCTTTCTAATGGTTCAGCCGGCTGGCTTGAGCCTTTGCAGGAAATGAGTTTCAGAAGACACTTTTTAAGACCACATTTGGTGGTGTTGTGCCCGGGGGAGAAACCTAGAAATGCATCACAGTAGGAATGGGGGCGACAAAAAAAGATTGAAAAATTAAAAATATGCAGTTTTGCACAAACATTAGGCAAGCATCGTTGGATTTTAAATCAAGCACTGGAAGAAAGCACGAGGAATTTCCGCGATTGCAATCGTCTTAAAACGGCTTGCAGTTTTTAAAAGGTTTATAATTATTTCGCCGATGACTCGCGAGTAAGGCGTGCAAGCAAGTACAACGGGTAATCAAGAAAAAATGAAGGAGCGCTACGTTTAGTTTAGTTTTTATTGTGGCGTGCACGTGTCACTTGGAAGCAACTTTTTGAACATTGCATGCGTGTTTGCAAAGCACGAGGCACATCTATTTTTTGTTAAAAAAAAACAAAACAAAAGTAAAACATGCAAGGACATCCTAGGTCAGAGTTTTGCCCTCCAAGTTGAGACAAACACCGCCCGCCTCGCCACAACCCACAAAAGCATTGCATCAAGCCAGTGCTGCCCACGTCGACTGAAGAGATGCAAGAAGTATCATATTCCCCCATTAAACCTCGTCACGTCAGTGCGCGCGGACGCAAAGCATTTAGCTGCGACGCTTTCGCAGAGCCGCAGCCAAGCGGTCGAATCATTATCCCGCAGGGATGCGCACAAACCCGCGCTGTTTCCGACATGATGAACGCTCGCCGCTCGCTGTGTATCCTCCCACCTGTGAACTGATGTATACGGGGATGAGGGCAGCGGTGATTAATCTCTCTCTCTTTTTTTTCAGCCTCAGGTGCCCCCACTTTTTTCCATTGCCCCGTTTACCTTTTCGCTGATTTTTGTTCAAAAGCCTGCGCGGCGTCAAGGCCTATCTTTTGATGATTTTTTTTTGGTTCGTTCGTGATTTTTTTTCTTTTTGCCACGACGGGAATCGTGCCCCGCCAAAGCGCAAGCGGACGGCGGCAACGCGAACCCGCGAAAGTTGTAACGACAAAATAATTTGCTCTCGTGAAATCGGTGTTGCGTGGTCGCATTCATCCTTTGGAGGGAACAAAAAAAGAATCAACGTTGAAGTTGGGATATAAACAAAAGGGGCTCTTGGATTTATAACATGAAAACTAAACATTTACAACACCATACCGTGCAATTATTTAGCAGGTATATATAGTACATTATTTTCGTCACACGCCCCTTAATACAGACAACAAATGTAGCATCTTCGCTTCACAAAAAGCACATTTGCAATTGTCTTGTAACGAGCAACTCACGCGCTCTGTTGACGTGCCCGTCTGTCCCTCCCTCCCAGCCAGGAAAACTTTTTTTTATCTTATATAGAGCCTGTCTCTCTCTGCATTTCCCTTGCCTTCTCTGCACTGCATATCCCAATGTATCTTGATTTGTTTCGCTTTGGCCCCGTTTCTGTTTCTCTATTCATGTCCTCTATTTCTACCTCTTCCTCCCACTATATCCCTCCCTCAGCTCGATCTCACCCATTTCCCCCCTTCCCACAATCTTTCTCTCTCTGTTATCTCTCTCGCCTCACACCCTCGCTTCTCCTTATCCCCCCCCTCTCCCTTTCCCAACTCAATCTCCCTTGCCTCTCCCTAATCCTCCCTCCCACATTCCCTCGCTCTCCTCTTTCTGTTTTGCTCTTTCTCCGTTTCACGTTCTTTCGGGGTCTCTCCTCTCCGCCCCTCTACGTCTCTGCCTCCCTCCTCTGTCTCCCTCTTCCACCTTCCTCCCCCACCTCCTCTCTCTCTCTCTTCCCCTCTATTGCATTTGTCCACGATACACAGC